TAAGAAATTCAGTGTGAATGAAACACAGTGCACAACATCGAAGCAGAGTACTTTACGGAGGGCCGTGAGTGCGTGAATTGCGGCGCGATTTCCACACCCTTATGGCGTAGAGATGGTACCGGGCATTACCTCTGCAACGCATGCGGTCTCTACCATAAGATGAACGGAATGAATCGTCCATTAGTTAAACAACCACGTCGCTTGGTAAGGAAGGCTTCACGACAACCATCGCGATGTTAATCATCATCATGATTCGGCGGGAATGGAATGGTTCGGCAAAGGTTTCATTTGCAATATTCAGAAAATTGAAGACTTTGCATAGTGTTATTACGCCGGGACTCTATATCTTATGTTTTGTCGTTTAACTTTCACTTTGTTATTATTTATCCGAAAAATTTATAAAAAAAAGTTAGTGTTTGTTTTAAACATTAAAAAAACATGAACGACGATGGACTGGATGAATCTGATTGCAAATGATATTTTGCAAACCGTTGATTTCACGAATTGTATTACACGCAACTGTACATTCGAAAGGGATATAAGAGAGAAAGAGACAGAGAGAGATAAACAATAGGATACTTTCTCGCTCATTCTCGTAACTGTCTACTGTCAGGAGCCTATGTGGAAATTCGCCCGTGATGTTCTGCCCTTTTGTAAGTCCGAGAGATGTTCAATAATCGCATCTCTGACCGTGACAAAATGAATTCTCCTGGCACCTTGCGATGCCAAACTCGCCTCTTATTCGAGGCTCGATGTATCATCGTGTATATTTAATACACGCAGGAAAAAAACACCCCTAACGTATGGCCTCATGTCTGTTTCAGTGGCGGACCAGGGCAATTTCTACAAAGACTTCTGTGGGTATAGTGGCACCCGTCGCGCCCTCGAGGAGAAATCGAGCCGTCGTTTGGTAGGTGTCATCCTCCCAAGTCAACATTCTCTCTCTCTCTCTCTCTCTCTCTCTCTCTCTCTCTCTCTCTCTTTTTGTCTGTTTTTTTTCCTTTCTTTTGCTCTAATAATAACAATTGTAACACTTTTTGTCTGATGTCTCTCTTTCTCTATTCATTCTTATCATTAGGACTCCTTGTTCCATAGTTCATCACTCTTACCGTATATTTCTTCAATTCATCATTATTATCGTCGATTCGTTATTGCGGCCGAGGAGCAGTAGAGTTTGTACTATTAACACTTTTAAAAATGATGTTATTTTAATCAAGTATTGTATTGTAAATAAAAATGTGTAGATATAGATAAATGAAGATTTGATAAAAAAATCAGTAATAAGTATGATATAAATTCATCATATCATATTGCGATTAAATTAAATATATTAAAATATTAAAGTTTAGTGCTAGAAAACTGCTTTTGGTCAAGGATCGACAATTTCCTCCCTGTCCCGACTTTCCCGTAATTTTTTTATTCCCATATTTTTTCGCGTTAACATCACGCTTTCTTTGAATTCATTCATCATAATACTAAATGTCTATTGATTATCGAGACGAAGGCAATCATCCTTGACTGTTTTCGTCATCGGTGGCGCATATCTAGTAGAAAAACAATTTGAGTCGTAGCCCCGAGGTGCCACTATACCCATGGTACGAGCACTCTCCTTCCCGAAATCACGTGCAGCCTTGTTGTAAAATACGTTATCTTTCAATTTCCGATCACACGGAATGATTCTTTGTGTCTGTTGAGTTTTTCCAGGCTCACGTGATCTTCGTGACCGAGGGTGGCTCACTTTTCTGCTCCGCGATCTCTACGGTACCTTGCACAGAAAACTTTCTATAATTACGGTAATTTAACCTGATCCTTTCCCGAGTTCGCATCAAAACGTTTTAATGACTCAATGGGGAAAGCGATTAATCTGATATGTACAATTATAAATTTTTTTCTTAAAGATTCAAATATTAAAACATTTTTTTTCCGATTATATGATATATTAGCTTCCTCCGAAATTTATATCACAAACCTCTTTCATATTTTATGTATATTTTCATCATCGTTCATAATATTAAATTGTTTCTTATTCACAATCCCGTAATATAATCGTATATCTCTTGAGAGCAAAATACAATCCATCATTATACACCTTTAACAGACTCTCGGTTACGAAATTCTTATTCCTATTTTCTGTTCTTTTTTGCCAAAAGTAGTAACATATAAATAACAATTTTATATCTTTTTAGTCTGCCACGAGACGCGTTGGTCTCTCTTGCAGCAACTGTGAAACTACGATGACGTCTCTATGGCGTCGTAACGCACAGGGTGAACCGGTGTGCAATGCCTGCGGTCTTTACTACAAGTTGCATGGCGTCAACAGGCCGTCGACTATGAAGAAAGACAGCATTCAAACGCGCAAACGGAAACCTAAGGGTGGAATGAAAAGTAGCGATACACCTCTTTCTGGCAATGTCGCGCAATGCACAAATAATAATAATAACAATAATAATAGCGTCAAGCTTGAACCAGGTACATTTCTATTAATTAAATAATATTAATTAAAATTCGATTATTAAAAAATTTAGAAGTTGTACAGTTTTTTATTTTTTACTAATCAGATTTTACTAATTAGATTTTTTTGAATTCTCCTTTACAAAGTTTTTGCGAAATACTTATCCAGATAAAATATGCTCGCTTATTTTATCATATTAATTTTGTACATGAAACATAACTTTATAAAAAAATCATGATCTTATAAAAAAATTATTTTGTTGTTAATGTAGATACCTACAATGATTTGAGGATGGCTCATACCGGCGTGTCGCAAATGACATATTCAAGTAATCTTTACGGTAGTTCTCAATCTTCGGGTAGGCTAGTGCCCTATCAGCCTGTGTATTACGATCTGATCACTTCACAGCAACAGCAACAACAACACCAATTGCTAGAGACCCATTCACCAAAGATCGAATGTCCATCTCCACCTTGCGCAACGCGCTCACCTGGAATGGTCTCAGCTGGCCAATCGCCTGATCATCATCAACTCACTTCGCCACATATCGTCACTCTAGGCAGTCCGTCGACCAGTCCAGCCGGATCTAAAATTATGCTGGACAATGGTCATCTCGAGAGATCTACGGTTGTGTCGATATCATCGTAAACACAATCTGGAAAGGTGTCGGATTGTTAAGGCAGGCAATAAATAAAAAATTGTAGCCAAGTAATTCAATGCCTGTCAAGCAAAAGACCTGGGTTTGATTCCCGTTTTTTACTTTTTAACCAGTGAGACATATATAATCTCGCTGATCTTACTTTCCTGCACGTATTGTGATACGCAAAATTAAAAGTTATATATCTTTTAAAAATGTGTGAAAATATGAAAGCAGTGCTGTTGTAAATAAGAGTTTTAGAATGTTTTAGGACTTTAGAATTTTTCAGAAAATCGAAGCTTTTCCTTTAGAAAGTAATTCTTAAAGGAAAAGATAGTTCTTAAAAATTTCTTTCTTTGTAAAAAATGATTTTTCTTTGTTTATTTTATGCTATTTTTATTTTAATTTTTTCTCTTTTTTTTTTTTTACCAAAGAAGATTTTATTAACAAATCCTATCTCAGCAATTAAGATAGTATCAAATTACGAATAATATTGTTGTATTTGTATATACATGTATATGGGAATTTTCTTATATGTAAGATTATATATAAGGTTATATGTAAGTGTTCTTATATTCCAATATAAAATTACATAAAAGCAAGGATATTTTAATCGAGCGGATATATAATATTTTTAATAGGTATAACATAAAATATATCGTTTTATCGCTCTCGCGACAAAAATGATAATAATGTAATATAATACATAATTAAATAATAAATATATAGCAACAATGGTGTATATTATACGAGTAAACATATCTGACGATTATGCGAATAAATATATTCAATAATTATGACATATTTTTGTCTTTTTATAACGAGTTTTAGCAAGTATTTACGTCAATATGTTTCGCATAATATACTTTTAGAATGTTGTGTATTGAGATATTAGATTATTTCTAAATAAAATGGGATATTTTAAACAAACATTTATTTTTATAATTTATAATTTATATATATAGTTAGTTATATGTCTTATCTTAAATCTGAAGGTAAGTTAATTATTTTTAAAAAATTAAATGAGAGCTTTTCAACTCGTGCACCGTGCGGCAAAAATTCGTTTTTGTGCGCGAGTTGGAAGGCTCTGACTTAGATTATCGAAAATTATACAATTAAAAATTATAACAAGAAAAGTACAATATTACATATGCATTCTATCTAACAAATTGCAAAAGATTGATCCAATGCGCATTACTGCCTATAGATATGCAATCATATAACATGAAGTATATATACATGAAGTATATAATCTACATTTTTTTCGTAAATTACATTCATTGCGTTATTTAAAAGATGATGTTTTTTTAGAATTATCGAAATAGATTATTTAAGTTACAAATATATGTTTAATATAGACCCTCCATAATATTCACAAAAACATACAGTTGATGACAGGCGAGGAGTCAGTGAACGGCCGAAAGAAAGTTCATCCTTGTGTATTTTCGACGATAATGCAATGTCTCAGCTAATCTTTGTTGCCACATATACCCTCTCTTGTTTGCAATGGCGTAATCGACATCAAAATTCACCAAACTTTTAGAGAGAATAACTAGATATTGTTTAAAATTATAAAGTTGTTTATTCGTTTAATTTTTAATTTAAAAAAAGAGTAGTGGGCGTCAGCACGGAATACGCAATGAATGAAAAATGAAAAATGATATATTTTAATTATAATAACATGAATGTCTAGTCACGGAATCCAACAACTGTACGATTTGGTTCCATTATTGAGCCATCCTTAGTTAACACAAAATACAATAAAAATCGCAATGATCCGTATCTATAAAATAAGTATCAAATAAAGATATAGGGTTTTTATTGGTTTTACTATAGCATTTGGTTACAACATTCACGTCGTTGTAATTAAAAAATACATATTATTTTTTTATTAGCATTGCAAATAAAAGTGAAATAAATTCTACATTATCTAAATTATATAAATTAATATTACATCATTAATTTATTTCATTAAACATTAAATATAAATTTAATATTTAATGAAAAATGAACTTTAAATCTCAATATATATTACTTATTTTTACAAACCCGGAGGGTTTGTTGATTAAATAATTTATAATTGTGTCAACTTAAAAACAGTATTTCTTATATGCATCATGAATCTCCATTACGCTGTTGCATCTGGGACAATAATGCTCGTTGGATCGTGCTTTATTAAAACGTTGTCTCACCTGATTCTCTTATCAGTGGTACCCTAGTGTGTGCTCTGTAACCATAGTGTGACTATAACCCTCCGGCTTCAAGCTTCGTTCCCCTCCTTTTAACAAAATGATAACTGTGATAGGTATACGCCCGTGTGTGTGTGTGTGTGTGTGTGTGTGTGTGTGTGTGTGTGTGTGTGTGTGTGTGTGTGTGTGTGTGTGTGTG